TTCCATAATTTTTCAAGCATTTCATATGTAATTTATAGAAATTGAAACGATTTTGAAAAATGATCGTTGATCATTGAAGGCTGATTAATTGAAGTGTTTTGAAAATAGGGATTAAATATTAGAGCACACTGTATGTCAGCTGGCAACAATCGAGGGGAAACTTTCTAATAATCACGGGGGCCTGTGCCGCTTTCACGCGAATCGCGGCGATGCGTTTCATTAAAACCTCGGTTTTCGTCCCGATCGAAATTATAGATCTTCCTGGTACGGCCTCTATCGATATCGGTAATCAGAAATTACTTACAATATGCGTTCCCCTTCCAAGGCCACGAGTAACTGTATCCCTCTTCAGAAATCCTGACCCGATGCACTTAATCTGAAAAGAATGAACGTGTAATATCACATTTATAGAACGAAAAATACTTGTAATTAAAACTTTTTAAATATACTTTTAAGAAATATAATTCTATATAGGAAAGCAATTTAAAGATAATAAAGAATGAAATATTAATACAGGCATTAATGATGAATTAAGGAGAAGTAAATTAATGAATAATTAAACTAAGTGTTGTTTGAAATTTTCCTAATGACGATCGTGGTGGGATTGATCATTCGAACGTGAACTTAATTCGAAGAAGATTCGTTAACTATTTGCCATTCGCACACGGCGGCAGCGCCTGCGTGTTTATCCTCGTTTCACCATTAAACAATTTAATTAGCGGCGAGTCTCAAAAGAACTTCCGGTCGGGCGTTCCTCGGCACTCGGTGGGACGACGCGAAAACTTCTAATTGCTTACGCGAGACCGCTTTAACGAGCGGATCCATCGCTGTAGAAAACGTTGATAGATACCGGAGTACCAGTTTTCCAACCGACTGTCCGTCAAACGTGATATCGTTACCCAGCTATTATGTTAATAACGTTCTGATAGCGAAATTACTCATCAAGTTTCTAAACTAAATAAATAATATCTACTTCTTGTTTATTCATAGATAAGATAACATAAACTGCGGAAATAACGCTTATTAGTGAATTCTGGCAGAACGGAGAAGTGAATTAATCAAAAGACCAAAGAAAGCCACGGATACCAGTGCACTCACCAAAACTCTGGGGGACGTATTATCCTCTCTTAAGGATGAATTAGGTAATCGAGAATCCCTTCTGAATATACAATTTCAAAGTCTAATTGAAAATTCAGAAGTCATTAAAGAGATAGTGGAGGAACACACTAAAGAAATTGATAAGTCAATATTATTAATAGAGATTAAAGACAGATGCATGAAAAATAGATTTTCTCGGATAATGAATGGAGCTCAAGAAATGTTCGTCAGTGGAGTCGTTATCCCTTTTTCCTAGCTCGTCTGAAGAAGATGAAGTTAGGTTTAATGTGAAATTGCTATTTCTAAGTGAATATTAATATTGAATAGAATATAAATGTCCCAGGAACTACCGACTTTTTTTTTATAAATGCATTTCTCCATTCAGAATCAGTCATTTTTACTGGTTTGGTAGTTCTAGTATTAAAGATACAAGCTACATTCAAATCAAGAAGAACATTTGTTTGAATCAATTATTCGATGCTTTCCAGAACGTAGGGGAATATAATAAGGTAGATTGAGATAGTGTAAAGTAGAAGTAAGGTAGAATAATATTGTAATCCGAAAGGGAATCAATTAATAAGTATATATGCATATATACATAGTATTCGATTATAGGGTAGTCTGATGCTTCCCGGGAAAAACCAGCGCCTATGTATAGACCGCATCATGTTGTCCGATACTTCATACAGCAGAACCGCCATTGTCCGTCGCAAAATAGTTTGTTTAAACTGTATTATTCGATTATTTAATTCATATATTATTTAATATTTCTTGTTGAACAAATTAACCCTTCTGAAACTTTAATTATTTTAGAATGTATGAAGATTATGTTATACCTAATGATGATAATTAATCATCGTTCATATACCAGGAATAGAAAGAAGCGATTCAGAATAGCAATTAATTTGATGTTGGCCGATCATTAAAATATCAATTTCCTTATTCCTCGGCTTGGCCAGGAGGGCCTTTGCGTCGTAGTTCCTTGTCGTAGGGTTGGGTTAATTAATTTGCCTTGGCACGCAAGCACCATTCCGTTGCGTAACGCGACGAAAAGACGCGTGGCTGCCGCGCGAAGTCCTTTAGGATTTACGTAACGACGTTAATTAATTTCGTGAGAACGATTTGGCCGATGAGTCGTCGCGAATTATGAAGTCCGTTCGCTTCCTACGATTCAAGCCGCGCGCGCGGTTTTCACGGTTAGACTTCGCACAAGGGAATTAATCTCCCGGCAAGATGGATGCCCCCGAGTGGATGCATATAATATATCATTATTAAATACTATAATTACCTATGCTCGTTTATGCAAACTCATGTTACACGTGACGACGATTAAAAAATGTTCGATCTAAATAGAAACTAGTTTCATACTTTATTTGGGTTACCTTTTATACTCATATAACTTACAGATTATGTTCCCTATAAATTCATACGTTTTGATATATTTCAATTTACAAATCTTACATAAACTTTAGAAATCAACGTATGGACAATAGCGACTGTAATGTGATTTTCGTTTGTTTTATATTTTACTTAGTTTTTATATTTGTATAAATTACAAGTTTATGTTCCACACTCACATAAGTTCATACGTTTTGGCATACTTAAATTTATGAATGGATCAACTGTAATATGCATCTATGTATAGCAATCACTGTGTGATACGATCTTGACCATATACATCCAGATATGATTTTTAGCATAGCAGATATGTATCAAGGAAGAATGATTGTAATATCTTACCGCGATCGTTTTTAGTTTCCTAGTAGAATGTACGGGAAACATGATTTATTCACTCGTTTAATGATTAATGACCACGTATCACGAACACCGCGTGCGTAATTTATTCTGCTGATAATTTCAAATACACTAATAATTTCAGGCGCATTGCGATGAAGGAACTTTCAATTAGGCAAACTATGTAGATACTTAACAAGGATGATCGACGGAGTTGCGTATGTTGTAACATGCTAAATTTGCTGGTATCATCTTTAATTCGGGTACGCGTGCTGAACGAACCTTATTAAAGGTTCCGACGTGAAGGCATCTATTTAACCGAAGGGCCGCTTCTTCTGAAGCGGAATATTACTCCGCGCATTCCGGTAACATTGTCGAAAATTTAATCTACTACAGTACGGGGGTACGTCCTTCCACCTACCTATCCGCCAACGTTCAGAGTAGTTCTCGAGTTCCGTTATGGCGGCATCAAACTACGTGCAACGAAAACGACAATATCTGTTATCGTGCGTTATGCTTCTGGTTGCGTACAGTTCAGAGGAAATAGCATAAGTTACAAACACCCAACAAAATTCGTTCCCGTAACAAAAAATATAATCAGGAGTTTTTATGGACAATCTACAAGAAATTTATTAACGTGGTGTTATCTCCTCATCAATTTATCTAATTATGGGGTGGAATATTTTATTGTTATTATTATTATTTCTCAAATTATTATCTTATCAATTTATCTGATTTGGGACAGAAAATTGGTAAAGTATATGAGCTCGAAAGTGAGTAGGAACAGATGCTTCACTAGATGAAAACTTTCTGAATTAAAAAAAATTCTTAGAACAGATTTGTATTCGCAATATAATTTGTGGATGCGCAGGTCTAAACAGGGCCGAACTAAAACTAGATTAAAGCTAGACTGAACTGCACTGTCTAGTCTAGAGGGTACTGCCTGGTAATGAGTTTACCAACGGTTCAATTATACAGGAAACCGAAGTCGCGAAGAAACTTCGCCTGCTTGAGATTTCATGCACTTCAATTTTACTTTTAGAACTGCAAACGTACACACAGGGACTAGTCGTAATATCAACAGACAACATGCAGGATAAACAACCAAACAGAATGATTTCACGCCAGTACTACATTCATATAAAACAGTGCATCTACGAATGAAATCAGGTATTCATTAAATTACATTTAGTACAAATAAAAAGGTTTAGTGTATTCATTCATGTAAAAATTCATTGTTCCTCGCAAATGGTTTTACGTGAATTACGCAGGTGTATAAATTTAATAGTTCTGAAATGCACTTGAGATAAAAGGACATCTCGTGTAATTTTGACCAAATTTACATAAGTGATAATTAAATCTACATTTAATTCACAGGACATGTCTTGATATAAAAATCCGATGGATTATGAAATTACAGTCATACATGTTAAACAAATTAACAATAATTATTAAATGACAACATAATTAATTTTACAAGTAAAAAAATAATGAATAGAAAGATCGGAGAATTTCTGGAACGATATTCATAAAAGTTTTGAATCTATTTGACGAAGATTCGAGTATAATTACGAGTATTGCTTCCATTTACCAAAGTACTTGTGAAAAGCTCGGAACTACCTGGCATAGATTCGACTGTACTTATATAGGTGTTCTGTTTCTATTGTCTGAAGTACTTATACAGAATTTGAGTTTAATCAATCACAGTTTGAGCTTGTCTGTCAGATGTTTGATCACATCCCCATTTGTCCCCCACTTAGTTCATGTAATGACGGTTCTACTGTACGACTTGTGAAAGATTTATTCATTCATTTATCATTCATATCATAGATTCATAACATTGAACTACTTTTAAGTACATTTTCGAAATCTGCAGGTACTTATTCTAGGATTCGGAAACAACTTATATGAAATGATTAGATTGTAATTATACTTATCGAAATTTTATTCCTTATGAGTAGCAATCAAAACCCGTGAAATGAAACTTGATTCTTGAAATTTCCTCGGATTCGTAAGTATGAACATATTGAGCTTGATCACCTTCACACCTGCACGCAAAAAGCATCCAGGCCTGAGTAATCTAACTTGGATAGACATTAGATAAGTTATACGGTTACGGTAGAAATCCGAAGTCGAACGGTGAATTAGAACGTTTCTCGATGCATCAAAATACGAACGGCGAGACTGTCGTTTTCTTATTGGCAAACATGCATCCCGCGGAAAATGCTCCGGCTTCAGAAATACGTATAACGCGCGTATATACCTAAATATACGAGATCGATAATAGCCAGGAAGATGCTGGATTCGACGTGAACGTTTTTGATACGTGCACACGATTCGCTGACTCGTTTGCTTGCAAGTTTTATTGAAAGGAATCACGTTTACCTGATACGCTCGTATCTTCGGGAAGCGCATATTCCAAGCAAAATTTCATGCTGAGATTAAGCTCGAAAAAAAGACCTGCTATATTTTTTCAAGGCATAGTGGAGAATCTTGTTTCCCTTAACATTATTTATTTTTTAAAGGGATATTTAGAAATATTCGAGAAGTTGATGATTTCGTACGAGAAGTTAAAAGCATTTTATTTCGTAGAAAAACGTAAGAGCTATTTTCTTAAGGCACATTAATTGTATAAAGTCTTGCCTTTTGTACTCGATGCTTGTTTTTGTGTATATTAAGAAAAATTCAAATAGCACCATTCAACTTTCTACTTTATAAAGAAATCGAAATCTGTGAAAAGAAGTGGTGCAGATTCCGATATTCGCTAAATGCAACTGCCCAGACCAGGGAAATAAAAGCATCTACTAGCGCTCTGTGGCGCGTATGTTGCCCGATTCGATCGTCCATATTAGATCATGGAGCACGCACGCAGGGATCTCAGAATTTATCCCTCGTCCGAAAAGTGGGGACGACGCGACCATGGTGGGGACTGGTACTTGATGGGGGTATGCTAGGCATGGTCAGCGAAGGCGCATGAGGAGAATAGTAGTGGGGATCGAAATACGGGCGAAAAAGAGGGGAAGCGAGTCGTGCGGGATAAATTCTGAGGTCCCAGCACGCACGTTCATATTCAATACATTATTCTTAGTTTATTTAGTTAAAATTATAGCCATGTTTATGTTTATTCATTATTTATTAAACTATATATACATATATTTATTAAACTACATGGTTCATTATTTCATAACTACGCTGTGTTACAAGAAATAAACGTAGGTCCACAGTTTTGAAATATAAATAAAGTAACATTTGGATACAGGTAAATTTTGCACAGACACGAACGTCCCACCGACTTACCGCAGTAAGGCTTAAGCCTGTGTTTGTAGTTAACTGTTCCCAGGCCTTGACCAGGCGAGGAGTCGTATTGTCGAGGACAATGCTTGTATCGGCGATTTTCATTGCGCGTAGCCGGTAAGAGAAGAACCGTAACCCGTCGCAATAAAACATAAGAAGCGCGTAATTTATAATTACCGTTCCCCGTCGCAATCATCTCCCAAATACGACGATCGCTCGCGACTTCTCTCTCCCCTCTCCGGCGAGTCTACTTTAATCGGCAATAAACGAGCTAACGATGTCCGGACTAAACCCGTTTTTCATCGGTTACCACCAACGACGACGAATCGACTGTGAAAGAAAAATCGAGGTTACGTCGATTCGCTGTACGAGGGAACGGTTTTCAAACAACGACCATAAAACTTTCTTAGCTATTTCCTCGCGGCATTCGACGCGGAGGATAAACAGGTGAAGAATAAGGCGACTGTCCGATTCAAAAAATCAAACGCGATGAACGTTTGTCTAATAAACGAGCAGAGGGATTAACGTTTTTTGTTGAACGAGGAATCTGATAGCAACGATGGCGCTTGATTTATACGGAAATTACTTGAGCGAATCGAATGACAAACGACTAGATTTAACCAACGTTTACCACTTCACAAACCTATGTGGCTGGATACAAAAGTTAGTGACAACTGTGAAATGCTAGTTGTTTAGATAATTAATTATATTTTCATTGCTCGATCAGTTTGTGAATTCCAACGTATAAACAGCAATTTTATATTACAATATAAATCACAAGGTAGTGAGGAGAAAGAATAAGAATAATTAACTTAAGTAAAAAGGAAGATAAGGTGATGAAGGCGGGGACAGAAAGGATTATTCATAATTTCTGTTGTGATCTCAATTAGTTTAGTAAAAATTAAAAGTTTCGTTTTGTCAGTAATTATAAGTACCAAAGTTAAAGTTTATTTTAATTAACAAGCCAAATGTAAGAGGTTGTATTTTTATTTGAATTGTATTGATTTAGAAATAAAGAAACTAAAGAGCCTAAATCTAAGAATTATCTTTTTTTGTTGTTATCGTTAATTTTAATATTTATCATACAGTGACTCCTATTAATATTCGTATCTATTTAAAAACTGAAAAACTCCTTTAATATTAGACCGAATAACTTAATATTATTTGAATTGTTAAAAGGCTTAGTTTACTATACAGGGTATCTTATCCTTGACATTTTGATTTTCTCGCAATAAGTGTCGCTCATAACGAAGTATGTTTCAGAGGAGGCTCGAATGGTATCGAGTGGGGCATATTCTGGTGTTATTATTAGTTTTTCATGAGTGGATGCGTAAAGGTCATATGTAGGTCAAGTTTGTTGTCTTTTAAATGGAACGAGGTATTTCCTAAAGTTCCAATCGAAGCACCTAGAGATTCTTCATAAAAAAAGTACCTTGTTATTTATATCGAAGAATTAATAGTTTAAGAGATGTTTCAAATTGAATAATTTAAATTCTAAGAAATACACTTTACGAAATATCTTTATCCCAGAGTGAAAGAACATCGGGAAGGTGCGCGACGCGTCGCGACGTTGTGAAATTTTAAATACTGCTCGTATGAGGTGATGAAAAGGGCACAATTACAAAAATATGTTTCTTCGCTTGTTTGACAAACGCACTAGAACGGTAACATAAAGACTTAAGTTCCGTTTGGACATCGGTTTCGTTGAAACCCGAAGGGTGTGTGTCCGCTATAAACAGCAGCTCGTTGGCGACGCGGTATGGCTAACATCGAGGAACGGAGGTCACAGTGTAAGTGGCGAGAGTTGCCAGCGAGCTGGAGAAACCCTTTTTAGGTTAATGCAAAATGGTATAGTGCACTCCCGCGGGCAGGAGTGTCCCGCCGGCACTTAAATTACACCCAATGCGGCTGTAAAAGCCCGGGTACCCCATATCCACGACGGGGGAACACACGGCACAATAACAAGGTCAGCGTTTTTTATACCGCCTATAAATTCACCCGGCCGACGTACAGAACTCGCAATTACGCATAGACGTTTGTCACAAACATTGCATTTCGCTTCCGTTCACGCTAAGCATTCACACGAATTCACTTCTTATATTGTTACGTAGACAAAAATCTATTTTTTACTGAGGAAAGAGAAGTATTGAGAACATTTCTGATGGGGTAATAGGATGGTTGTGTCATTTGGGGATAGGGACAGTGACCACATTTTTGGGAACGAAATCAGGGACAAAAATGAATGTAGGAATTATAACGATACACAAACAGCAAAAAATAACAAAATTCTTGTATTGCATTACTGCATAATATCTATGTTTTTTTTTCCATCGATTGTTCTGTATCTTATATGTGTAAAAAAGGCAGGTGCTATTTAATTTTGATGTTTCATGTAATAAAAGATTCTTTATATAATAATAATAAACTGTATACATTTTCATAAAACTAAGTGTACCTGAATTTATGCCAAAAAAGATAATTTTGTGTATTATAGTTAAGTAATATTAAGTATAATATAACAGATCTAGTTTGTTGTAAGTATCGGTTGAAAGCATACCGCTAGATAGTTCAGACACTATTGAAAGAATCTCGTAGTACGAAGCAAGTGCAGTGAAAGGAAATTGGAACAGATCAATCACAGCGGTTATTTTTCTTGCCGACCGTATAGTCTTTTGTGCCTTTACATTTTCGCGTCCCTTTTTCCGCGTGGCTCCTCGCCGAACAACAACGAATTTCGAGGCCACCCGTTTTTTACGAGAAAGCTATTTTGCTGTCTGAAAAGTTTCGAGTTCTCTCGGCTAAGAGCGATCGCATATCAATCTGTTTGAGCTGCGAGCTTTTGTTACCGAAAACGTAACGTACACGAACGGGGACGAAACTATAAAAATACCGTACGCGTCGCACCATCCCGAGTCATTGTTGCCTGTCGCGGCACGCTCGATGAAACCCTGTCGCCGCTTCGCCGAGTATGATATACGCGATCCTTCAACGTTTTAGAACATTTTCAAGTGCAGTTCAGATCCTGACGAACACAATGATATAAGATGACAAAAAAATTCAAAAACTTCGAAATAAACTAGAATTTTAGTTAGGATTCATTTGCATGCCAAATACTGTTACATGAATTATTCTATTTTATCTTATATCATTGGATCACTGTGTTCGTCAGGATTTGAAATCTGAAGCTTACGATTACTTCAAAGTTCAAGATACGTAATTTGTGAAACTGTCAATGTTAAGTAGACTTCTTGCTGATAAAATCATAACATGCGACAAAAAGTGGGTGTTGTATCACAACCTTAAGCGAAGAAAATCGTGGCTTCACCCTGCAGAATCGTTGACATTCAATGCAAAATCAAATATCTACGCTAAGCAGGTTTTGCTCTGTACATGGTGGGATGTAAAGGAAAGAAGTAGTGTACTATGAATTGCTCCATCTTGGTCAGACTGCCAATGCAGATCGCCACCAGTAGCAACTGATTCGCATGGAGTGATGAACTCGGAAGATAAAGACTGTTTAGGTAACGGAACACGGCACGTCATCTTGCAACAAGATAACGCTCGGTCACACGTTGCAAAAGCAACAAAAGGCCTCAATTGTTATTTGGGTTGGGAAATCCTCCCACATGCGGCATACTCTCTCTCGGCTCTATCGGATTTTTATTTATTTCGATATTATAAATATATTGGTTCATTGAATGATAAGGAATTGATCTCATGATATCATTTTGTATACATTTAACATTAATATATTTACTCAAATAGAATTTATTGCAAATTGTTTCCAGCTTTCGATAAATTAAGTTCTACATCTCATGACGATCATGAAAGTCTATCTGGGGTTATAAATACTTTTTCTGTACAGTGGTAATAGCCAGGGAACGGGCAGGTTCAAAAAGTCGCGTACATGGGACGAGTCGACGGCGCGATAAATTAGCTAGCACAACGCTATACATACCTACACTCGGCACGAATCTGTTTATTTCCACGCTCATCGTGGCTCGAAACAGTTACTTAGGACATAATTCTAGCGTCCGGAGAAATAGTTCATTTTCCGTTATCGCCTAAAATAACATAGATACATACAATTATTAAACATAGAACCGTTATAAATAAGTCTTCTCTGCCATTTACCACTGAGGCTGTTCAAGCGAAGACCGCTGTGTATCTCGTTCTGTGATGTTTACACAGTCGATTGACCCGGTGGCAGGCTCTCAAGGTCCGCGACAGTTCTTCGGCTTGCACGCGCGTCGCCGTAAATCTCGTTACCGGGCTTATAATTCGGTTCCGCGGCGCAGCGTGGAAATTAGGAGCGCGCGCAAATCGAATTTGCATAACACATCCACCGATCACCGTGGCTCGTGCAACGTTCGACGCACAGCATCCGTGTGACTCTGTTGCGCAGCGGCTCTCGAAATGGGTCGTCGGATCGACGACGGTTGCGACGACGCGACGCTCGATGCGTTTGCAGGGTCGTTATCTCATCGCCGATCCGTTATACTGAGGATGCTAAATTGTACGACTGTTTAGAAGTAATTTGCATTTCGACTCGTGAGTATTGCAAGGATTCTACCGCGTGGAACCGGAGGTATAGTTACATCTTAAGAAGATTAATTAATTAATTCTAATACATTCACGAGAATTTATGTTAGTTAAGAATTCCGTTCGTTGCATGCTATTTGATTTTCTGGTATTCGGTTAAAATTATATCTACTGTTATGGAACCTACATAATCTAATTCTAGTATTGATTCAAATAAAATTAATGAAGTAACTTATTCTTATTCCTGCTATTCCTTTAATTCTACTTCATGCTGGACTCTGATAAGGTTATTTGATTTATAAAGTTATTTATATAATTTCCAAACTAGAACAGATATCATGTTAGAACATTTAATAATATCTCTATGGAAATGTATTCATAAATTATATCAGTCTCAAATCTCCCGAGAAATGTGGATAATTCATTTCTATAAAAAAAATCACTCCGATCCCATTAAATGCAATGAGATTTGTGTATATGTATGTTGAATCAGGCTGTAATGAGTTACCCACACATTAATCTCACAGAAAGCGAAGATCCTACCTGAAATATTTCATTGACCTAATTTTTTCTATCTGCAAGGTATAACGCAATTTTATTGTCTGTCACTTTCATGTAACATTACGCCGCATATTTATACCGCGATAAAACGGTAAGCAAAACTTGGCTGCTTCCTCAAACTGTTATTATACATCTCATAAGTTGATAAAGATAACGTCGCGGAGGAAATCGAGTCGCAATAAAAGAGAAGACGACGGTGAAAGGTGGAGAGAAAGGTAATCCGAGAAATGTTGAGCACGCGAAGTCGTAAAAAGTGATCATACGGAATATCAATTATTTACGGTGATAAGATAATTATTTCTCAACTTCCCGAGCGAAATTTCATGTCGCTCGAGCTGTTTAAAAGACAACGCGACATTTTACGACCAATCGATTTCTTGTTTCTACCACAGACTGGATGTAAGAGACTCATCAACTTTCCACAGAACTGTACTAACTGTAACTAAGGGATTAATGACTAGCCTAGTGAAAATGATAATTGTGACGCAGAATACGTAGATGAGAATTTATAATTATTATTGTCATTAGCAAGACATTTAATCTTTTGCACTAATATGTCATGTTGCTGATAATAATGCAAAGTTATAGAACTTTGAAATTTTTAAATGGTTTTATTACAACCAACGAAGTTCCCCAATTCTTTTGTGTAGCAGATGTTATGGTTTGTTATAATATTATTCTGGAAAAGAACTGTGTAAAGACGAAGTCACTAAAAAAGTCCGCTTCTCTCTCTCCCTCTCTCTCTCTCTCTTTCTTTGTTTATTTTGCTAAGGTAGCAAGTTCGATCGCTACACGTGTCGGGCCAAGTTTCGCCAAGTATCGATTCCTAACTCGCCTTATCAACCGGAAGACTACGCCGCTCGTAAAACGATATGAGGCACACCGTCTGGAATGTCAAACACTTATCTACACGCGTACTTTCTTGGATCGTGTCTCACTCTCTTGTAAACTTTTTAACCCTTACAGCGTCGACAGAAGATGTTGAACCTAAGCGAGAAATACCGACCAAAGTTTGTGCAGTTCGAGACAAAATAATAGTTACGAAAACAAGTTAATGAAAAATCTGTATAAGTATTTAAGTAATTTATGACTGTGGATTCGGGGCTGGCGGATTAGCTGCGCCGCTGGCTAGCCGTCCTCTGCCCGCGTGTTAACCAGTTAACTGTGTCGATCATTTTGCAAAGTGCGCCCCAGTGTGTGTCGCGATAATCAAGCGATGACGGATATAGTCGTCAAACACAGAGTAAGTGGCTCTGTTGAAATATTGGGTCAAAAAGACGACTTTATTTTAGAAAATGAATGAATTTATTCACGGATATAGTCGTCATAACACAAAATTCTGCCATTCTTCCATGACGGATATAGTCGTCAAACACAGAGTAAGTGGCTCTGTTGAAATATTGGGTCAAAAAGACGACTTTATTTTAGAAAATGAATGAATTTATTCACGGATATAGTCGTCATAACACAAAATTCTGCCATTCTTCCATGACGGATATAGTCGTCAAACACAGAGTAAGTGGCTCTGTTGAAATATTGGGTCAAAAAGACGACTTTATTTTAGAAAATGAATGAATTTATTCACGGATATAGTCGTCATAACACAAAATTCTGCCATTCTTCCATGACGGATATAGTCGTCAAACACAGAGTAAGTGGCTCTGTTGAAATATTGGGTCAAAAAGACGACTTTATTTTAGAAAATGAATGAATTTATTCACGGATATAGTCGTCATAACACAAAATTCTGCCATTCTTCCATGACGGATATAGTCGTCAAACACAGAGTAAGTGGCTCTGTTGAAATATTGGGTCAAAAAGACGACTTTATTTTAGAAAATGAATGAATTTATTCACGGATATAGTCGTCATAACACAAAATTCTGCCATTCTTCCATGACGGATATAGTCGTCAAACACACTTAACTGGTTAAAACTAATGGGAATGGGTTTAGCAAAATGATAAGACGGTAGAGTATTGGTATCAAGTTGTAATTTATTGATCAGATTCTTTTAGACAAACGGTGTAAATAAATAAATTAAATAAGTGTTATTTAAAATGAACCACAGCCTCAAAATCTAATATTATCAACAGATTTTGAATAAAAAGAATCTTGTAATTGTTCGTGACTAGGATACAGCGTTGGGACTTATGTCTGGCGCCGTTGGGTAAATGCAGTTGCAGGTGCGACGGTTTTACGCGAGGCGGAAGTTCGCATCTCTGTAGAGAAGGAGATTTACTATCGTTGCTCGTCAGCGTTCCGCAACGGACGAAGATTACGAGAACGTCATCCGCAGCGGTTTTCGCCTGCAAGCTGATTAATTATTCAATTAATCCGGAGCTATTTCGGTCCGGTGTGTTGTCTGCGATAGTCGTGCGTCAAAAGTTCTACTCTAGCGTAACGACGGCCATTTATTAAGCCCGAGATTAGATTCGAGGGGGAAAGAGTTGTTCGATAATCTGGTTAGATTAATCGCCCAAGCGTACTACATTTTATAGTAGCATACTTGTTGTTAGAACTGTTTGTTATATGATCGCAATTGTATCATTTATTTCATGATTTAGTACAATCTTTCAATTAATGGTTACTATTAGATTGGATGTGTATGAAATGCCTCAGTTCAGTTATGCAATTATATAAGTCAATAAGAAATAATTGATTATGCTTGTGTTTCATTAGATGTGATAATATGTGAATTATTTGCTTAACGACGATCATTCAATTAATGCATTTTTGCAAATTGCAATTCATTAATTATAAAGATTTTTATTATTATGATTATTTATTATTAAACAATGATTATTATTGACGCATTTTATATGATTTACAATAAATCATAAGATTTATCAACAGCGGTGTACATGGCACGCATGCAACAGTGATACGAGGATAAGCGGGTTCCCGACATAAAAACATAAGCATAGTCTGGTCGAGGTTCTCGTGCCCTTGGGATTCGATGAAGAAAGGACGAGAGCCTCGGTAAGTCGAGCACCGGATGCCTATTAGGACCAATTATCTCGCTGAGAAAATACCGCACCCCACCTATGCTCGGTCATTCTCTTCGTTAACGTCCGTCACATTACGGGGTCAGTCGAACTAGTTCTCAACGTCTCGGAAACGAGATTTCGGCCTTCCTGCGCCGACGTCTATTAATATTCCCGACGCTGACCTGATCTGTCGATACGTCGCGATGACAATTTAATAGGGAATCGACGGAACCGGTGAGTCACATGTACGAGTTTTCTAAATTTCAACTTTAAATTAGTTAATTCTATCTTCTATCGAAGTTTGCTTATTAATATATGATAGTGAGCTAAACAATTTTATATTAATATCTAACTTAGTATAAAAATATCTCTTAGCCATTAATAATAGTCGTAATCGTGTTATCAATTCAGAAGTACTTCGAATTTATAATTTAAATAATGTCTGCGCGGTGATTACTCACTTTAAATTGCTAATTATTTTATTTGTCATTTGGTCAACTAATTAACCATTATCTATTTAAGAATCCTCCTCATTTATTTATCATTTAATCAATTCATTATCCACATATTATATTATTAATCATTGTATTTATTATTTAATCAATTAATTAAAAACTCGTGGTCCTTTATTCATTATTTGATCACTCGACTATCTCATCTGTTTATTACTTAATCGATTTCAAGTTACTGATGGAGTTTGGCACGATACGAACATGATAGATATAGAAATACTTGGAAACAACCAAGTTAACGACCATTTCTTTAGAGGAAAAACTTTGAAAGAAAGTACAGATTTCGTACGTGTCAGTTAGTGGTTAAAAGTTGGTTGTAGTTTATTGGTCGTCGGAACGGCAACACAGGTTCACTGTTTGAGAAACGCGACAATTTCTTTTCGACGAATTTGTCGCACAAATTCGTTTCGCACGCGAGGGCTGACACTGTTCTCCCGACACCCGCGTCCGCGTACATTCTTTATGCGCATAGCTTCTGCTTTTGTACACTGCCGATCAAAAGTATATGCAAATGCCTCTATTTCTATTCCAAATTGAATTTAATAAAATAATAAAGCCACTGAATCATACACCACTGGGGCCACTGCCTGCTCGGTGAGGGTCATTATTGTATATGTAACATAGTATTAAACGTGACAGCATTTATTCCATAAAATATTCTATTAATTTTATTTATAACTATATTCATTTATGGCTGGAAGTGTTTGATGCAAATGGATTGACAATAGTGATTCGAATCATACACACAAGAATTGGCACGCTATGAAATATACATGTGTATGATACAAT